GATTTCAGTTTCAACCTTTCAAAAAAGTATGCGTGTCTCAGAAAAAAGGTGAGGCAGTGATCTGAAGTAGCAGTTTTTATACCTTTCTCGGCCTTTTGGCTAAGATCAAGTGTAGTATCTGTTCTGATCAGTTTAATATCTGAAGTAGCAGCTCACGTTTCGGGCTTAAAAAAGCAAACAAAAGCGAATGCGTTTCGGGAATTGGAATTGAACCCGAATCCCATTCTTTTTTCCCCCCCAAAAAAGGCATTCTTTTTTTCTTTTCGTTTTTTTAGCAGAAAATGCAGCCTCAATCGTGGAATTGCAAAAAATGACTCTGGAAGGTTCATTTCCCTGCCTTTTTCTTCGTTTTTTTTTTTTGTTTTTTTTTTCTTTTTTTCGTTCTTTCCCATTTGTCAGTCGGAGAGACCGTATCCATAACCAGGTAAGCAAGGCAAGTTAGGCAAGTACCTCATCATTGCGTTGGAAACAAGAGTGCACCAGACAGTCAGCCGGGCTTGAGCCCACGACCTTCTGAATGCGGCGAAGCCCGATTTCGTTAAATGAACAAGGCAATGCCATACCCTTGTAACGAAATGGTGGTTTAGAGGGGATTTTAATGGGGGGCGTAACTCTCTCACGGACCCTCTCGTTGTCCACGCACAGAGATTCAAAGCCATTGACAAGAGCCCCCATCCTCTTGCACGGCGGCCATCCGACCATCCCCCTCCCTTCACGTAGCTCTCTTCCACCATCCATCCTTTTTGCGGCCATTTTGGGCCTCGCTGTACTACTCTCCAGATGCACAAAAGAAGACAAAAACAACGGCAATCTTCCTTTCCATCCATATTTCGAGCGGTGGGTGCAGTCTCATCTTGGGCATTGGGAGACTAGCGGAGCGAGGCCCTTTTTCTCCCCTAAGGATGACATCTGACAATGATCGAGTAAAAGAAAAAAAAAAAAAAAAAAAAAAAAAAAGAATGATCGAGTTACGTGGAAGGAGGGGAAGGGACAATGGGGTACATAACTATCAAGCAACGGATATTAAGACCCACTGACTGTCAATCAAGGGGCCTAGCTCTTTGTTTGTTTGGTTCTTTTTTTCTTTTTTTTTTCCTTTTGGAAAACGGGACCGCCACTGGGTGTGTACGTTGTACTGGGGGGGGAAGAAGGTAATTGGACGCAGAAGCAGACGAACAGGACAAAAGAACAGAGAAAAAAAAGGGGGAAAAAAAGAGACAGACACTTACGTGCTGAGGGCGAAGGCGTTGGTGTCGAAGCTCAGTGGGCGAGGCGGCCTGTCGTGGAAGATGTTGAAGGATTTGAGGCACACCTGCTTAACCAGCTCAGGGTCCGACACCACAACAACGGGATGCCGACCAAAATAATACTTGAAGACGGTCCCGTACTGGCGAACCCAGTCCAGGTACACGCGAGCGATAGGCTTGTTCGGAGACATGAAGAGGTCGGCAAGGTCGCCCGTGAGTCGATACCAGGGGGGGCTGCGACCGGGCATAAAACGCAAACTGCGGCCCATTGTGGAGGAGGAGGAGGAGGAGGTGCTTGTAAGGATGCGAATGAGCAGGAGAAGGAGGTATGCCACCAATGCCGCCACCATAGCCGACACTGCGAGCGTGCTCGCGTTCACAGGACAACCGTGAGGCAGCAACGGAACATCGACGTCGCTGTTCTGGCCACCAATACGGCTGAACAGCCGCAACGAAGGCAGCAACGGAACATCGACGTCGCTGTTCTGGCCACCAATACGGCTGAACAGCCGCAACGAAGGCAGCAACCGTTCCATCAAGAACTCTCTCATTCCAGCTGAACGATTGCACTCATACTGCGGCTGCGCGATCTCTGATCCCATCTCTCTCTCTCTCTCTCTCTCTCTCTCTCTCTCTCTCTCTCTCTCTCTCTCTCTCTCTCTTTGCGTGCGTGTGCTCGCGTGCGGGACGAGCAGACAATCACACGTTCTTGCGCATCTCTCTCCCTCTCCCTCCCTCTCCCTCCCTCTGTGTGTGTGTGTGTGTGTGCGGACGAGCAGACAGTTACACGTTCTTGCGCAAGAACTTGCCACCACTATCGTGTAGATGCTGGTGCGAGAATCGTGAGAGTGTGTGTCTTCCTGAGCGACTCGTTTGGTTATGGAGGATGCTTCCCCTCTCTCGGCGCACAAAGACACTTCCGTAATTCCCCGAACCACTCTCGGCCTCGCCTCTCTCTCTCTCTCTCTCTCTCTCTCTCTCTCTCTCTCTCTCTCTCTCTCTCTCTCTCTCTCTCTCTCTCTCTCTGTGNGATCTTCGCTGATCTTCTTTTGCCACAGGCTGCCGACATAGACGTCCCTTGCTCTTCCGCTTCCGTCCGGAAGTACCAGGACTTGCTGATCAAAGCCCGCACAAATATGCAAAAGGCTCAGATCCGCATGCAGCAGCAAGCTAACCGACGTCGACTTCCATGTCCTTTCCGCGAGGGAGAACTTGTTTGGGTCCTCTCCGAGGAATTTGCGCTCGAGCAGGACGTTTCGCGCAAACTCCTTCCGAAACGGTTCGGACCATGGGAAGTCATTTCTGCCGTTGGAGACGATCCCGCAGGTCCTTCCTTCGTGATCAACATTCCACCGCACTTGACAGTGCATCGGGTCTTCCACGCATCAAAGCTGGCCATCTACACGCCACCTTCAGATGACGAGTTTCCCGGACGTCGATCACATGATCCGCCCTCCATGGACGGACATCAGGAAGTGGACCGAGTCATCACGCACCGCAAGTATGGCAACAAGCCAATGCAGTACAAAGTCACATTCAAGCAATGTGCGCCTGACGACACTCGGTGGATCTCGAGTGTGTTACATCTTCGACGCCACACGGGTCCTACCGGACCCGACTCAGGGCTAGAGGGACACATCAGGGCCTAAAGGCCCCACCTTGGGGTACTACAGGCCATAAAGGCCTCACCTTGGACCAGACCCGACGGGCAGGCCCAAACGACATTACCGTTTGGGCCTGGAGGCGCTCTTGAGGCTGCCGCCCGCCGGTTGGGGCTGAACCGTCCACGGTTCAGGGCACGCACGGCCAGGCCTCGCAGCAGTGAGCCCGGCCTCTGCCCACCGGTATAAAGAACCGGTCCGGCCTCACTTCGAGGATCGACCCACCGGTAGACGATACGGTGCGGTAAGGTCGGCACCAGAGTGCCGTTGGAGCGCTATGTTTAGCGCAGGAGCGAGGAGCAGGCAGCGCAGCAGCAGCGAGCGGAGCAGCAGCAGCGGCGACTGGGTTACCGGCGGCCATAGCCGCCTGAGGTACCGGGAGTTGGAGGCTTCTCTCCTCCCTCCTCTCGCCAGTCCCCTCTCTCTCCCTCTCCTCCTCGGCTTCCTTCGTCTTCGTCTTCTTCTTCTTCTTCTTCTTCTTCTTCTTCTTCTTCTTCAGATTGGAGACTTATACTAGTTGGACAGAGATCAGTGTTGGACTTCGGTGGTATGAGACTGTGGTACTTACCAGATTGGAGACTTGGGGATCGTTGGGGTTGATACTTGGCGACATCACAGTTCAGACACCGGTTATATTTGGACTCTGTATCCCCGACATTGGTGACCTATGGTCCTCGACATTTTGATCTTGTTGGATGACATTTTGGACTACCATATCGGTGACCTATCAGATTCTATCTCGGTGACTTTCAGTGCTGTCTACCTCCCCCACCTCTTCGTCTCTCCTCCCCCATTCATCTGTGTATGTGTGTACGGGGCTGAGCATCTTCTATGTATGGCTCAGACCCCCACCACCTCACGATTGTATGTGTGTGGAGTGATGCTATGTGAGTCAGTCTATGTAAGTCAGTCTATGTGAGTCAGTCCGTTCATCAGACTTCCGTTGCATCTATGCTCATCCTACATTGGTTGATCCTTGGTTCTGCCCATACTCATTGGAGTATGTAACA